CCTCAGGCGGGCGCAGCGCCTGCTGCGCGCGGGCGAGGTGCTCCTCGCTGCCGGCGTGCAGCACACGGGCTCGGGCGCCAATCCGAACCTGGGCCCAGAGGCGCCGTCGTGGCCGCCGCCGTCCTCTCGCCCTCGTCGCTGTCGCCGCCGCGGCCGCCGCCGTCCCGGGCGCCGCGGTTTCCGTCGTCATCGCCGCCGTCGCCGTCGTTATTACGACCATCGTCGTGGTCGTTGTCCTCGTCCTCGCCGGCCTCGCCGCCGCCGTCTTCGCTGTCGTCGCCGGCAAGGGTCGAGGATCGAGGTTTGAGGATCAGCGTCTCGCCCGCCGCATGCTTCTGGATGCCTCTACATGACGTCGGCCGTCGTCTTCATCGTCGTCGTCGTCGACACTGTCGTTGTCGCCATTGTTGGCGTCGCCGCCATTCTCGCCGCCGTCATCCTGGTCGCCCTCGTTGCCATCGCCTTCGTTGTTGTTGTTGGGGGAGGAGCAGCAACAGGGGGACCGTGGGCTAGATGAACACCACACCCTCGAGCTTCGGAGGTGGCTGGCTGGTCTGAGGGCTCGGAGCGGAGGTGGTTGGATGATCAGTCGTTTCTTGAGTAACCACCCCCACAGGGTCCATTTCTTTTTCGCCGTGCCCGATCCGATTCGATTCTGGCTATCCGATGCGGCTCGATGCTTGTATTGACGTTGCTGTCTGTCTTATCGCCGCCTGTCCGATTTAATATCAACTCCACAACGACACATCCCACTTTCCGATTCAATGTTAATTGATCCTATCTAACATCCCGAAGCTTCGCAAGCGGCAGATGGATCTGAGGTTTAGGGGTGGAGTCCTTGGGTGACCCTCCCTTGAAGGATCTGGGCGAACCGGCTGAACCGAAGCAGGAACACAACGCGCAGCAATCTACCTGCTACAGTCGGGCGCTTCAGGGAGGGTGCCCTCATGTTCTTCGTGCTTGGTGGATGTTATTGTGCATCCTGGGGGAGGGTACCCTCGAGTGATCCTATGGTATGGGGTGTCTTGGCTGGTGGAGGGTCCCATGTTCTTGAACGATTTTATTGTTGGCCTAGGTCCGACTTTGCGTGAAAGTTCAAAACCGACAGCGCAGCGTTGTGTTGGTCTACCTTGCTGTACTTGTACTCCGGTCTGCTTTGCGTTGCATTTCCAAGCAGTGCGTTGCGTTGACGTGCGTGCCGCTCCCTTTCCCCACGCCCCTTCAAGAGCCGCCCAGCAACACCTTCCAAAGCCGAGGCAAACCACTCAGTCGGCGGCCTCGGCATTAAGGTCAGAACGCACTCCTGGAGAGGCCCGGAAGTAGCGGCATCGGCAATTGGGGGCAGCGCGGGCTGCTAGCAAGGGGGCCCTTGTTGAGGGCCCCTTAGATTGGCCCTGTCGGGCCCAAGAGGGGGCCTAGAGGGCCCGCGAAGGGCACCCTTCTCCCCCCCGTTGATCGCCCCCCCCATTACCTCAAGTCTCACCCAGACCGTTGAAAACAGGTTCGAAAGCCGCGGATGACCACCGAACACCTCCTCTACTCCGCCTCCTCCTCGCCCTTCTCCCCGCCTCCACCTCCCTCGGACACCCTCAGGACCTCCTCGACCTTAGGATTCACTGAGAACTGAGAGCCTCATAAAAGCCCACATGATTTCGGAGCACGCTAGAACCTCCAAGATCTCCCTCAGATCCCCCGTCGACCTTTTTCTCTTTCCCTTCCTCTCCCTCGATCGACTACAACGACGAAGACTGACGGCGACCGAAGATCGACGGCGACAGACGACGACGAAGACCGACTGCGAAGACCGACTGCGAAGACCGACGGCGACAAATGACAACGACGACGCCGAAGACCAAGCAAGACCGACGACCGACGACCTCCTGCGCCAGCCCCAGTAGTGAGCAGACAGACACCAATGCCAGGAAGACAGGGGCACGGGAGCCAGAGCGAGGAGGCGTCTGCGCTACGAGCGGCGTCTCGTGTGACGTTTCTGTCTGGGCCGGCGGTCTTCGGTCTCGCGTCGTGGAGCCAGTTGTGCGTCGGTCCGATATCCGAAGGGGGAAAACACAGACATCCCGCTGCTCCAATTTGTAAATATGCGTGGGCCCCGCGGAGGTCTGGACCGCTTCCCTGGGGCCGGTTTTTCGCCCTGCGTCGTTGTTGACGGTCCCGAGGGCCGCGAGAGGCCAAAAACGACGAAAAACCTCCGTCTCGACTTCGCTCGAGACGCCCGACGTCTGGGAGTCTGCCTTCGCCAGCCCCCGCCCGAGGTCCGCAGGTTCAAGTCGGGCCTGTCCCTCTACAGGGGGAATGTTGAAAAATTGTAGAAAACATTTTCTGGGGACAATTTGTTGATTACTTTTGACAAAGTTTGGAATCTGCTGGGTATTTTCAATTTGTCGCCCAAAATCCGCCTGTAGAGTCGGGCCGCTGAAAGAAGGAACGCTAGATAAGGAACGAAGCCCCTTCTTGGCCCTGCAAGCGCCTCCGTGCCCCAGGAGGGCAAGAGGAACAGCACTGGAGGAACCTATGGAGCATCGAGCCCCCTCCGAACCCAAGCTGTTCCTTACTTCAGCGCCTTGACTGTCCGCCTCGGAGCGCAGGTGGGCCTCCTTGACTGTTCCGTACTTCAGCGAGGTGGCCTGCGCAGAGTTCGGAGCGGCTCTGTGAGGAGGAGGAGGAGGAGGAGGAGGAGGAGGAGGAGAAGGAGGAGAGTGAGGAGGAGGAGGAGGAGGAGGAGGAGGAGGAAGAGGAGGAGGAGGAGAGGAGAGGAGAGGAGGAAGAGGAGGAGGAGGAGGAGGAGGGGGACCTGCCCGACCCAACCCGTAGGTGCTCGACGCCACGGGCCTGCTGCTGGCCCACGCGGAGGGCCTCGCGCGGCGCGCCGCGGGCCTGGAGGGGCCGGTCGTGGACGACGGCGGCGGCGGCGGCGACGACGAAGACGACGAGGATGACGACGACAGGGACGACGACGACGACGACGACGACAAGGACGACGACGACGACGACGACGACGACGACGACGACGACGACGACGACGACGGCGGCGTCGGCGGCGGTGACGGCGGCGACGACGACGACAAGGGGCGATTGCGGTCCCCAGATCTCAAGGGAGAGCAAACCACCCGGACCGGACAACTGGCGTTCACTAAACGGCCCTGGGCGTTTTCGGAACAGCCCTGCCCTGTTCGATTCCTTCTCTGGGCGCGTTTGCTAAACGGCCTCGCGTGTCGGGGTGGTTATGATCGGGGTGGATTTTCTGCCCTCGAAGACCCCCTCGAGTCGTGAGAACAGTCGAGACTGAGGTTTTTGCGCATCGGTGGCCTCTCCGGGCTGTCTGGCCCGTCCACCCTCCTGCGGCTGTCCCCCCGCAGGAGGTGCACGGGCTTACCCACTGTTTGCTTCTGTGGCTGTGAGCTGCGACCGCCACCCACAGCGCGTACGTGGTCCCCGGCCCGGCGCTCCCCCCGTGACGCTGGGGCCAGTGCAAGCAGACACCAGGGCCCTCTCCTTGCGGCTGCTCCCCCGCAGGAGGTACTCGGGGCCACCACAGTGCATCCGTGGCCTATGCACCCGTCGCTCTTCGCTGGTTCCGTTCGGGGGCCATGGTCCGTGGTGTGTCGACTGATCGGACGGCACGCATCTCCGACTGGGGTTCCTCCCGATGCAGGATTTCTGTTGGCACGTATTCGAGGATGGCCTACATGATGTGGTCTCGGGATGTTGTTCTCGACGACGGCGGTCGTGCTCGGGCTCCACATTTGCCACATGCTGCCTCGTAGCTCAGGATAAGTTTGCTGAGGACAACGTTGGCGCAGTTGGGCACTGTCGATTCGGCGCGCGGGCCCGGCTGTCTTCGACTTCTGAGCGCGCTGCTTGCAATCTTGTACTGTTTGCTCGCCGCTTCAGTCCCGGGCCGCGGTTTTAGGGTTGCGTGATCCTTGTGACGGCGCGCGGCTCTCCCGCTTGCGCTCGCGAGCAAAAATATCCCACCAGAAACCCTTCCCGTGAGAGTTGACGGGAAACGGGACGAAGAGACACACGTAGTGTAACAAAGCGGACAACAGAGAGACCTATGGCAGCAACGGGGAGGTTTTGGAGGGCCTCTCCAGGCCATGCCTGGGGCCCACGCGGGGGCGGGGGCAGAAGGGGGAGGAGGAAGATGAGGAACAGGAGAAGACGACCACGACAATCACGACGACGAAGAAGAGAAGGAAAAGGAACAGGAAAACGATGACGGCAATGACGAGGACGAAGAAGAGGAGGAGGAGGACGAGGACAGAGTCACGACCCAGGATGCTGAAGCTCGCAGTGTGCAGCAGCTTCGCGAATGGGGGGCAGGTCGTTGTCAACATGTGAATCTCGCCTTTGCGCCGCGCACGTTCGCCTGAAAAAAATGCAAGAGCTTCACGGATGGAGGGCGGGCGGTGTTCAGCTCTCGCTTTAGCACCGCGCACATTCGTCTCCAAAGCTTGAAGGAGCTTCGCGGATGGAGGGCGGGCGTTTTTTTTTTAATGTTGCTCTCGCCGTAAGTCCGGGAGAATTCGTTTTAATCGTTTGCAATAGCCTCACGCTTCGAGGGCGGTTCCTTTTCAAACTGTGACACTCCTCTTCGCGCCGTGCACACTCGTCTTAAAACATTGCATGGGCTTCATAGACGGAGGACGGGTGATTTTCAAAATGGGGCTCTCGCCTCAGCGCCGCGCACACTCGTCTTAACAGTTTGCAGGAGCTTCACGGATGGAGGGTGGCCCCTTTTCATAACGTTGCCCTCGCCCTGGCGCTTCGCACGCTCGTTTTGACATTTAGCAGAAACTTCATCAAAGGAACACGGTTCTTTTTCAAAATGTGGTTTTTGCCTCAGCACCGCGCGCACTCGCTGTTCAACTTTGGTGGAACACTTTGACGGCTTCGCATGTTTGGCCGTCCAAAAAATGATATCCGCGCAGAATGTAAGACTGTCAGGGCGCAACCATCACGTTGACTCGCGGTGCTGACGTTCCAGGAATGGTGCTCTGGCACGATTGAGCAGCGAAGGATATTCGCAGCGTCGAAGTCCAAGAGGTGGTGTGTTGGCAAGATGAAGATTATCAGACGGTTGCCTTCCAACGAAGCACTTCCAGAAACGATACTCAGTCCGTGTATGGGGCCTATGCACATATGAGGATGGGGATGGAGGGAGGTTTAAATGCAATATCGTTGATGCGTCTTGGGCTTACACTGGTCCTCCACGTCCTCCTCGCCACCGCTACCGCCGTCGCCGTCGCCGTCGCCACTGCCACCCCCGTCGCCGTCGCCGTCGCCGTCGACGCCGCACTCGCCCTCCTCGTCGCCGCCGTCGCCTTCGTCGTCGCCGCCGTCGTCTTCGTCGTCGCCGTCGTCGTCGTCCTCGTCGTCGTCGTGGTTGTGGTGGTCATGGTCGTGGTGGTCGTCGCGATCGTCGTCGTCGTCCTCCTCCTCCTCATCCTCGGCCACACTGTCGTCGCCGTCTCCATCGCCGCCCTGGCCGGTCTCTGAGCAGCAGCTCGGGCCTCAAGGAGCCGCCAGGGTGAGTCCCGGCCCCCACGAAAGCTCGTGACGAGGTGCAACTGATGGGACACAGTCCAGTGCCAGTGACGACTGAAAAGTATCGAAACCCTCCGAAGTTTCTGTGCACGTCCCCGCCGTCGTCCTCATCGTCGTCGTCGTCGTCGCGCCACTGCGGTTGGTGCCTGGGCCATAAATCGGACACCGGGCGGCCATTCGGGAGGCTCCCCGCCGAAAAATGGTCGAATCAAACTTGCCCTGGGCCCCGAGAGCCCTTTTGGAACAAACGCGAACACACACACACATACACACACACACACACGCACACACACACACACACACGCACACACACACATCGCACGAGGTTTTTGGGCGAATGTGGTCTAACGATATGTTTCTTTCCTATTTCAAAAACCTCGTCCTTTCCAGGAGGTTTACCTCCCCCTCCATGTTGTCCTTCAATGCTCCAAGATGGCCTCCAGGATGGCTCCATATAGCCGACAGTGGTTCAATATAACTTCCGACATACCTCCACGAGGCCCAAAGATGGCCACAAGTCGGCTCCAAGATAACTCAAAGCCCTCAGGACCACCCATGAAGCACAAATCCTCCACTCGCCTAAGGATCAACAGTGTTCCTGTTTGCTCGCCATTTCACTTCCGATGCGCCCCCCGGACGAGTCCTAAGAGGGCTCCAGGAAGCGATTTTGAAGGAGTCTCAGGCGAAACTCCCGGCCCGCCCTCTCGCCACCTGGAGGGTGCGACAGGAAGGAGTTATCTATAAGGGGAAACGGGCACAGAGATGCGATGTCTTGATTTTTTCAGGACGGCGTCCCCGGCAGTCTCGACCCATTCCCTGGGACCGATTTTTCATCCCGAGTTGTTTTTGTTGACGGTTCCGAGGCTCGGCGAGGGCCCCGAGAGGCCGAACACGGCGAAAAAAATCCGTCTTGATTTTTTCATCGCGCTGGATCTCTGGGGGGGATGAAGGAGGAGGGAGACGATGGCCCTCTCAGGTCTGGGAGCCCTGCGGCGTGGGGCTCGCGGTGCCCCCCGAGCGCGGCAGCTGCGTGGCCTTCTTCACCAGGCCCCCGCGCGGCCTCCGGCGCGCGATGCTGGCAAGCGCTCGAGGAGTGCAGGGGGGGAGGTCCACACATCGGGCGTCTCGAAGATTTCTAATCCCAAAGCCTTTATAACGCAACTTAGCAACTTAGCGAAAACAGCCGCCGGCGACTGCATTAAACCACGCGAATGTTGATATACGATAGCGATGATGGCGCTTTTGTTCTCTGCGATTCCACAACTTGACCTTCACAGACATCGGGCGTCTCGAACAAAATCTAGACGGAGGCTTCTTATCGTTTTCGGTCTCTCGGGGCCCTCGCTGGGCCTCGGGACCGTCAAAAAACGACTCGGAGCGAAAAGCCAGCCCTGGGGAGGTGGTCGGGAGGTCGGGGGCCCGTGCCTCGAAAAATCGAGACGTCGGATGTCTGGGGGGAGGGGACCATCGCCGACGCCACAGCCTCTGAGCAAGGGAGCGCAGACATGGACTAAGGCAACGTGGACCAGCGGCGGGTGCCGCTTCCGTGCAGAATCGGCGCGCTCCGTCGGCGAATCGGGTGGCACTGGCGCCACGTTTCCTGGGGGCCCTCTTCCCCGATCCGTAGATCTGGCGCCCGCGCGCCAAGTCCATGGATCCCCAATCCATGTCAGCGTAGGGATCCCTGGATTAGGGATCCCTGGATCCCTGGATCCCAAATGCATGGACTGCCTAACTAATCCCGAACCCCTGATCCGTGATGGATTGGGGGTCCATGGGTACTAGTGGACGGTTCACATTTCGTATGTTGCGAAGGCCTTACGGCCGATGCCGCCGACCCTGTAGGCAGCGACGACGAAGACAATGGAGGTAGAGGAGTCCAAGATGCCCTCAGATGGCTCGAAGACGGCGCCAGATGCCTGCAAAGTCGTCCGAAGACAGCTCAAGAGGCCTCCTCCAGGTTTCGGGAACGGCTCCAGAGAGTGCCAAGATAGGCAAAGAGTGCCCTCAAGTGGCCCGAGAGGGTTCCAAGACGGCGTCAAGCGAGGTCCACAAGCGCCCGCAGAGGCTGTCAAGAGTGCCGCCAGAGGCTGCCAAGAGAGGCTAAAAATGGCGAGAGATCTCCAAGGAGCCTTAAGATAGGCTGACTGGCCCGCAGACGGCCCGGAGGCCCAACGGAGCCCCAGGGCGCAGGAGGATGAGAGGTGGGGGGCTGCGTATCCGAGGGGGGACGCCCCCCCCCCGGGACCCCCCCCCCCCCGCGGGGAAGGGATCAAGGGAAGGGCTTCCCTGAAGGACGACGTTGTTCAATTGTTGTGTGGACTTCTGTAGGGAGCCCTCGGAAAGCAGAAGAGGCGACGACGCTCCCTAACCCCTGATCACTAATGGATTGGGGATCCATGGATAGTAGTGGACGGTACACATTTCGTATATCTGGCTGGCATGGCCCGCTTCGCCCTGCCAAGCCGGGCACGTGCCCGACGAAGGAAGGGGGCGAGTCAGACTCCCACACCATTGGAAGCTGAGTGTCGCACACTGAAAGAAAAATGGATTAGGAATCCATGGATCCCTGCTCCGTGGATCCCGATCTGATGAATCTGCGTACGACGCTGCTCCGGCCCACCTGGGGTGGGCACGCCAAGTGTGAACGAACTTGGCCGGTACCCCCCCTTCAACTCCGCGCCGGCACGTGTGTATAGCCCGCACAGTAAGGAGAGGCAACCTGCCCAAGGTCGGGTATAGCCAGGACCCGAGGTAAGGGGACCCGGTTAGTGGTAGGGCCCCGGAGCCCCCGAATGGGCCAGAGTCGCTAAACCAGGTCTGCCGTAGCTGGTGTTCTTTCGGGTGACGGCAGTTCCGGTTAGTGGAACGGGGCGGGGGGGTCGTCCCCCAGTACACATCACTAAACCAGGTCCCACTAAACCCAGTTTTGCCAACGCTCGACAAGGGCAATTACCCTTGCATCCTTGCCTCCTCGGTCCGTCCTTGGCCTCTTGCGTTGGCCGCGCCCCGATCCTCGTCGCGCATCCTTATGCTACGGCCTGGCTGTATGTGTGACCTCGGGGGCACTGCGGGCGCGCCTCGTGGCTCGGCCGGGGCACCCCGGATTGAGGCCAGCGCATGTGCATGGTGCGGCGGCGCGTCGGGCCGCCGCGTTTCCCCCTCCTCCCCTCCCTCCCCTGATCGCCGGGGCATGGGGGCGGCCCCCCTCGTCCCCTCTTCTCGCTTCCGTCTCCGCCTTTCGTTCGTGTCGTGCTCCCCGTGACCAGCACGATCCTCCTCATCCTTGCTCCCCCTCCTCCTCCTCCTCCTCCTCCTCCTCCTCCTCCTCCCCCTCCTCCCCCTCCTCCCACACCCCCTCCTTCCCCTCCTTCTCCTCATCCTTCTCCCTCCGCCATCTCTGTCTCTCTCTCTCTGCCTCTCTCTCTCTCTCTGCCTCTCTCACTCTCCCCTTTTTCTTCTTCTATCCCTCGCGCACGCACCGTCATCGGGCGTCTATGGCCCGCCGAGTCGTGCTTCCTTTTCCTTCTCCGCTGCGGCCTCCCCTGCGCGCCCCCTCGACTCTCCTCCCCGTCTCTGCTGCTCAGACCTCATCCTGGGCCTTCGCAGCCTGCCTCCTCGCTGTTGCTTCTCAGACTCCTCGGCTGTCCCCCGATTCCGTTCGGGGTGCTCCTCCTCGGCCGCCCCCGTGCAGCCGTTCTCGTTGAGCTTCCTCCGCCAGTGTCTCCGAACCCCGCGTTCTCGACCGACCTGCCACGCTCGCTTGAATTGTTTTCGTCCGCCGTCATCTCCAACTCTGCTCTTCTCCCCCCCACCCGTCCACTCAATAGCCTTCCGACTTAGTCCTCGACTCTTCTTCTGGGCCCGCCTCTTCCACCCCCACCCCATTTCCACGGCCTTCCTCATCCCCCTCCTCCTCCTCCTCCTCCTCCTCCTCCTCCTCCTCCTCCTCCTCCCTCCTCCTCCTCCCTCTTCCTCCTCCTCCATCCTCCTCTCCTCTCCTCCTCCTCCTCTCCTCCTCCTCCTCCTCCTCCTCCCCTGCTCCAACCTCCTCCTCCTCCCCCATCCTCCTCCTCCCCCTCCTCCTCCTCCCCCTCCTCCTCCTCCTCCTCCTCCTGCTCCTCTTCCTCCTCTGTGGACACCTTTCATTTTATTGAACTGTCCGCCCGCCCTCTCCTGAGGGATTTTGGAACCCCACGACGCTTCCAGGGCCGCTAAGACAGCCACAAAGTTCCCAGATGGCACCCACAGCGTCGAAGCAGCACCCAGAAGAGGCACCGACAGAGAGGCCCCAGGAGGGCGCTCGAGGCGCTCCCAGCCACCCGTCAAAGGATCCGACCATTAGTTATTACTTTTCGGTGACCCGCGCGACGACGAAGTCCCCAGGAGCCCCCCAAAACTGTTCATCAAGACGCCCCGAGAGGGCACCAAGACTGCCCAGCGCATCCCGCTACAACCCAGGAGGGGCCCCGCAGCGCCTCGAGAATGCCTCCGCTCGAGACGGCCCAGGCGGCGCGGGAGTCCCACGTTGGGCGCGAGTTTTCTGGGGAGCGATAAACCATGGGGGAGCGAGGACCGCAGAAAAGAGGCACTCTAGGGTCTCTCAAGGGGCCCTTTATGGCCCCAGGAGGGTGCCTCTGGGGCGCGAAAAGGGCCCCCCCCCATTGCTCGCCACCCCAGCAACTCGCGCTCAACCACGACCGCTTCCCCAGGGCTGGTGTCTCGTCTCGAGTCGTTGTTTGATGCTCCCGAGGCCCGACGAGGGCCCCCGGAGGCAGAAATCGGGCACAAATCGGCCCAGGCTTCTCTTTTAGTAGGTACATCTCCCCCAGAGTCGACTTGAGACTTGCTGGCGGCATTATTTGCGATGAAGAACGGGGTCGCGACGGGCTGGCGGAACTACGGTTGAGGGTGCTTGTTTGGAGCGTCGGATCTCTGGGGCGGTGCCTCCCGAGCCGCCAAGACAGGTCCGACGCCGTCGGCGGGGCGGTGGACCCGCGCTCCTGGCACGGCGGCGCCGCGGTCGCTGCCGGCGGACCGCCTCCCTCCGCCCGCCTTTTTCGTCGGCGCCGCCTCGTCGTCGGGCTCTCGGGCGCGAGGGAGCGCGCGCGCGGAGGAGGTGGAGGAGGAGGAGGAGGAGGAGGAGGAGGAGGAGGAAAAGGAGGAGGAGGAGGACCAGGGCAGGGCACACCTCGAGGAGGGAGGGGGGAGGGAGGGAAGGGAGGGAGGGGAGGGAGGGAGGGGAGGGAGGCACGGGAACGGGAGGGGGGAGGGAGGGAGCAAGGGGGGCGTGGGGAAGAGGGGGGAAGTGGGAAGCGAACGAGGCGGAGGCGGAGGAGGCGGTCGCGGAGGAAGGAGGGGGCGGAAGAGGAGGACCAGAGCAAGCACAAAACGCATCAACGATATTGCAATTAACCCTCGTTCCCAGCTCCCCTTTCACAGGTCCACAAAATATTGAAACATAATTGTGGGAAGTGGCCCGTTAGAAGACAACCGTGTGAGAAGCCTCCACTGTGCCAAAGTACGTTTTCTTGGGGTTCCAACACGCGTATCAGCGTGACTTGCGCGCCCTGACAGTTTTGAGCCGTGCCAGAATAGCGTTCTTGGGCAGTCAACACCGCGAATTAACATCACTGTTGCGCCTGGACAGTCTTACTACATGCCAGAACTCAGTTCGTGGGCCTTCAACCATACGAACCCATTGTTTAAGACGAAGGTGCGCAAAGCGAAGGCGAGAGACACAGTCTGAAAAGGAACATCCCTCAGTCTTGAAACTGAAGCAACCTTTTGAGACGAATCTGCGCGGCGCATTGGTGGAAGGCGAGAGGCTCATTTTGGAAGCCAACCGCCCTCAAGCCGCGAAACAGCCGCAAACTTGCAAGACGAATGCGCGCGGCGCTAAGGCGAGAGCCAAAGTTTGAAAACGACCCGCCCTCCATCCTTGAAACAGTTGTATAGGTGAAAGACGATTGGCGCGCGGGGATACATTCCTATCTTAATTATCTCACACCAGGGATGGCCACCCCCCCCCCAATAGAATCTGGCGGTCCCAAAGGCCCCGGAGGCTCTTCTCTGGCCCGTCCCTGAGGGCCCCAAAAAGGCTCCAGGAGAAAACCAGAAACAGTCCAGGACGGCCCCGAGACACCCAAATATCCTTCCCAGACGCCCAAGATGCCCCCAAGACAGCCCAAGAGGCCTCCAAGACGCCTCAAGAGGCGGCCAAAAACTTCCAAGAGGGCCCACGAGGCCCAAATCATTAATTTCCCGTAGGAAAACGTATATTTTCAGCATGTACGACTTTGCGCCCTCTACGGCGTCGAGGACGGTCCAAGATGCCCCCAAGACGGGCCAAGAGGCCCCAAAGAGGCTTCCCAAAACGGCCCAAGAGGGCGCCAAGACGGCCCAAGAGGCGCCCAAGACGGCCCAAGAGGGCCCCAAGACAGCCCCAAGAGGCCCCAAGAGGACCCCAGGAGGGCCCCAGGGAGCCACCAAGAGAGCCCCAAGACGAGTCAAGGCCTCCAAGACGCCCCGAGAAGGCCCCAAAGCGCCCCAGTACGGCCCAAAAGGGTCCCAAATAGGCCAAAGAACCCGAAAAGATTCCGAAAACCACTAAAGGAGCCCAGAGACGCCAAAGAAAAGAGCGATCGGTAGCACCCAAATCAACCCGAAAGGGAGCACTAAGAAGGCCCGTAGACGCCAAAGAACAGAGCGATCGGTAACGTAAAAGTTCGTCACACCAAGGCTCCCAAGAGCGAACGATGACATAACAAACTCTGACAACCAAGGCTCCCAATAGCGAGCGGCAACGTCACTATCTCTGACAACCACGGCTCCCAAGAGCGAGCGGTGACGTAACCAGCCCTTCACACCAAGGCTCCCAAGAGCGACAAGCGCCATGATCCATCTCGGGCAAGCCCCCCAAAAAGCCGCCCTTTCCGTTTCCGTGCCGGCCCAGGACGTGCGCACGTTCCGAGGCACAAGGCAGATTCGTCTCTGGGGCTCCATGTGGCCCTTCCGAAACCGAACAAAGACGACGGCAACGTCGGCCCAAACCAACCCAAATGCCGAAAGGCCCCCAAAACTGTTCCAGAAAACCGCGGGCCACTTCTAGATGACCGACGACGGCGACGACGACAACGTCGTCGTCGCCGTCGTCGAACGCGCACCCCTGTTTCCATCACCCCACGTGCTTTGCCGTTTCTTGCAGCCCAATTGGCCTGCACATGTAGCTGCGCCTCGGTCCACTACGCCTGTTTGTCATCCCCCCTTTGCCCCTGACAATGCACTACACCAAGACTTTAAAGCGAAGCGTAGCGAGCTTCAAGTCTTGTATATATATACATATATAGCCACATACTGTGAACCCCCCGCCCTCCATCCATGAAGCTGTTGCAAGTTTCAAGCTTCAAGCCTCAGGATCATAAAATGGTGAGGACATCTCAGGCGAACGCCCCGGTCCATCCGACCGACACGGCAGGATGGTGCGACAGAGAGGAGTTTCTTGAATAAGGAAAAGGATGGAGGGGAAGGAGGAGGAGGAAGCAGGATGGAGGAGGGAGGGAGGAGAAGGAGGGGGAGGGATGAGGGACAAGGAGGGGAGAAGGAGGGGGAGCGGGAGGTGGAGCAGGAGGAGGAGAAAGAGGGGGAGGAGGGAGGACAAGAACGGAGAGGAGAAATATGAGGAGGAGGAAAAGGAGAAGGAGGAGTACGAGGAGGAGCAGCAGCAGGAGCAGGAGAAGGAATGAGGGAGGCGGGAGGGTGAAGAGAGGCGGGACGAGGGAGGAGGGAGGAGGAAGAAGAGGAGCAGGAGGAGCAGGAGGAGGAGGAGGAGGACGAGGAGGAGGAGGAGGAGGAGGAGGAGGAAGAGGAGGAGGAGGAGGAGGGATGAGGCGGGGGAGGAGGGATGAGGCGCGGGAGGAGGGGGAGGAGGGGGAGCAGGGAAGAGGGATAATGACAAGGAGGAGGAGGAGGAGGAGGAGGAGGAGGAGGAGGAGTAGGAGGAGGAGGAGGAGGAGGTTTAGGAGGCGAGGGAAACGAGGCTGGGGTGGAGGAGGGGGGAGGGAGGCGGAGGAGCGATGGCCAGAGTAAGCCCACGATGCACCAGCGATGCTGCAGCGCACACTCCCGTCCTCACGAGCCTGCGCCTGCACCGCAGGGCGGGGGGGGCGCCTCCCTCGAAGGGCGACCGCCCGATCCGCGCGGCGTGCAGGCGGAAGCCCTGGCTCTGAGGAGGAGGAAGGGGAGAGGAGGCGAGGATGGGTGATGAGGGGACCGTAGATGGACAAGAGGGTGGAGCCCTTCACTCCGCCCCCCGCTCCTCCCCTCCCAGATTCGACGGCTGCTCCTGGACACCCCGCAGCACGAGCGAGGGAGGACAAGCAGAGTCGAACCCCCAAGGTCTCCGCGAGTCGCGACCCAAGCTTGAATCTCGGGTTGCGTCGGGCCTGTCCCTCTACAGGGGGAATATTCAGAAATAGTCAAAGAATAGTCAGGGCACTATTTTTTGAGTATGTTTGGGCATCTTTTGAATATGTTTGAGGATTTTTCATTTTTCGTCCAAACTCCCCCTGTCGGGGGACACGCCCGACCTAAATCTAGGTGGGGGGGGGGGGGGGGCGAACACGGTGCGGATGCAATTCCTGGGAGGTAAAATTCTGAGTTTGCCCTGGTCGGAAATCCGAATTTGTCCGGCCTGATACCGCTGCATCCCGTTTCCATCCCGCTTAATCTGAGGCCTAGTCCGGCGCAGCAGCCCCCCAATGGGGCTGAAGTCTCCCGGGTCCTTCCGCCGAAGGCCGCCCAGTAGTTGCCTCCCCAGAGATCCGATGTCGTGAGTGTTTCAATACGGGGCCCCTGGAAGTCTCGACCCATTCCCCAGGGCCGGATTTTCCTCCAGAGTCGTTTCTTGACAGTCCCGGGGCCCGGCGAGGGCCCCCAGAGGCCACAAATGGAGAAAAACCTCCGTCTTGGTCTTTTCGATGCGTTGGATCTCTGGGTCCCAGACACGGGGCCGAGCACGAAGGGGCCCAAACCTCTTTGCCCCCTCGCCGGGAGGGGGGGGGGGGGAAGCCGCGGGCAGCGCCAGCTGCAGTTGGAGGACGCGCCGCCTAATTAGCTCCTGCCGGCCGGGCGCCCCGACCGCGCGGGTGGCCTCCAGCGGCGCGGAAGGGGGAGAGCGGGAGGAGGGAGGAGGAGGAGGAGGGAGGAGGAGGAGGAGGACGAGGAGGAGGAGGAGGAGGAGGAGGGCGGGAGGGCGGGAGGTGTTCCTCCTCGTGTTCTTGCTGCCGGTGTTCCTCTTCCTCCGCCATCCCATCATGATCATCAGCCTTAGCATCGTCATCGCCATCCTGCTCCGACCCTCCTCCGCACGGTTACTCTGTTTGGTTACCCTCATTCTAATTTAGCTCGTCTAGTTCGTCTCCCCATCCCCCGCCTGCTTATTACCCCCTGCCCCCCTCATACATACAAGCAACACGCTGAAGGAGGGCCTCTGCTTTTCGGGTCGTTCCTTAGACCTGGGTCAGGGGGACGTCTTCGTGGCCGAGGTTCGCAGTGGCTAGAAAAAGAAGACAGTGGTTCCTCATCTGGCGTTCCTGACAGTAGCACGATGATGGTATCCTCATCCACTTGCCCACTTGTATGTTTGCATTCCACCTCTACTCCTTATCCTTACTCATCCTACCCCTCCGTCTCCCCGTTCCCCTCCCCCGTCTCATGGTAGAGTCCTGTTCCGCATTCTCCCAGACGTCCGTTTCTTTCTTCTCTTCCACATGTTTTTCACCTCACGCCCCCCCTGCTCCTTTTATCCTCCGCTTCCTCTTATTCCTTCTGCTCCTCCCCGCCCTCCTCCAACTGGAGGCGGCAAGTGGACGCTCCAGAAGTTCAGAGAGGCGCCCGCGGAGAAGATCCGCCGCTGCTGCATCGAGTCCTTCGCCGCGCAGCACGCCTCGCTGCGCCCCGGCTGTGGTGGGGGCGTTCTGTTCGACGTCCACTCCTCCTCCTCCTCCTCCTGCGACCCCCTTTCCTATCCTCCGCCTCCTCCCTCTCCTCCTCTGCCCCTACTCCTCATCCTCTCTCCTCCTCTCCTCTCCTCCTCCTCCTCCTCCTCCTCCTCCTCCTCCCCTGCTCTTGCCCCACATTTCGCAGCCCACATCTCTACGTTGTCGCTGCATCGCGTTTTGCCAAGGGAACCCCGCGTTGATCAGCAGCCCCCGCCCCCGAGTCACTTCGCCCGACGGCTGGTCCCAGCCCCACCACGCGCGCCGAAACCACCCCAACCCCCACCCACGCAGGGCAGCCCCTCTCGATCCCCCAACCCACCGCTCTGGCCAAGCAGCTCCGAGCGCCCTTCCATTCTTGATTATTCGGCCCGATCTCGGGCAGCCATGGGCGCCCAGTGACCCTACACGGAGGTGCACGGGTCTTGCATCCGTCAGGTGAGGTTAAGGGCATTGTTTCTGTTGGCCCCTTCCTCCACATGTTGTTCCTCTTCCTTCACCTCCTCCTCCTCCTCCTCCTCCTCCACCCCTGTCCTTATAAACAACTCCTCCCTGTAAAGCCCCGAGACTTGTCCGTAGAGCGGGCCAGGCGTTTCGCCTGAGACTCCCTTGCCATGTACGATCATCATGCTGAAATGTTACAAGTTCTTCACGGATGGAGGGCGGCTCCTTTTCAAGATGTGGTTCTCGCCCCAGCGCCGCGCAAATGCGTTTTCTTTTAAGCTCGCAACAGCTTCACCGGTGGAGGGCAGCTCCTTTTCAAAATGTGGTTCTCGCCTACTCGCCGCGTGCATTCGCCCTAAAAGTCTGCCAGAGCTTCACGGGTGGGGGGGGAACTCCCTTTTCTCTATGGCCCTCGCTTCAGCGCCGCAGACATGTGTACTACAAGCTCGAAGGAGCTTTATGGATCGAGGGTGGTTCCTATTCAAAAGATGACTCTCGCCTAAGCGCCGCGCGCACTCGTATTCAAACTTTACGAGAGCTTCTCGGATGGAGGGCGGTTCCTCTTCAGAATGTCGCTCTGGCGTGAGCGCCGCGAGCATTCGTTTGAAAAGTGTGCAAGCTTTTCACGGATGGGGTGCGATTCCACTTCAAAATGTAGTTTTCGCTTCAGCGCCCCACTCATGCGTATTAGAAGTTCGGAATAGCTTTCTGGATCGAGGGCGGCTCCTTTTCAAAATACGACTCTCGCCACGACACTGCGCACATTCGTCTTAAATGTTTGCGACCGCTTCATGTATTGTGGGGGGCTCCTTTTCAAGAAGACGCGGTTCTCGCGCCGGCGGCGAGCATATTCGATTTAAAAGTTTACAACAGCTTGGGGTGCGGCCCCTTTTCAAGCAACGGTTTTCGCTACAGCGTCGCACGCAGTCGTATGAAAAGCTTGCAGGGGCTGCATGGGTCTAGGGCGGCTCCTCTTTAACATATGGTTCTTGCCTAAGCAGTGGGGATCATTTTCGACCATCGCATCGATGAATTGATTAACGCTGACTGTTGCGCACAATGCTTGCAAACC